TGTGTGTGTATGTGTGTGTATGTGTGTGTGTATGTGTGTTGTGTGTGTTTGCATTATAGTAAAATATGAAATATTGTAATGGAAAAAATGAAAATGGTCGAATTCCAAAAAGCAAAATCTAATTTTGAAGTATTCTAATGAATTTAGATTTATCAATAAGACAATGTTTGCTGAGGTCAGTGAAGTGTGAAATATCTTAAATACAATCTTATTGATAATTAAATATCCTTAATGATACATTAAAATTTTTCAATTTTATACTTCTCTCTCTCTCACTCTCTTTCATTAATAAACCATAAGGTTTTTTGTTTTTTTTTGAAAAAAAATTCTGTAACTCTTTTTGAAATAATTATTTCAAATTGAAATAAATAAATGATGAAGCAAAATGAATTGAATCTTCTCGTTAATTTTTCATTAAGCTTTAAATTAGATTTCATATTCGGCTCAAAAATTACATCAATGCGTATTATTCCATTCCTTTTGCAATGCTCATTTGATCATATTCCATGTATTTTTCAAAATTAAACGGAAATTTTGAAAAATGAATGAAGAATTATTTATATTCAAAGATATTGCATTTTATAAGTGAAAATGTGGTGAGAATATCCGGATAATTTGCATTTTTGGACCCTTTCATTTCATTCACTTTTTTTTTTTTGTTCATTTTCATCTCTCTTCATTTCACATATCATTTACAATTCATATTTTCGTGTTATTTCAAATTTTGATTATCCTTTTTCAGTTGATTTTTTTCTTCTTTTATTGGTTATATTTTATATATCATTCTTTCATCAGCTACCAAACTTTTCACCAATCATTCGTGTACTTTGAAACTATAAAAATTTTCATTTATTCGAAGAAGAGAATTTTGAATGAGTCATCCATCTGTCTTATTTACCCGAACTATTTGCATATTTTTTGTAAAATTAAATTTAATCTTAAAGTATGTAAACTGTTAAGATTCGAGAGGATTGAAGTCCATACTACCATTAACTTAACCGGATAAGTGACTCTTTTTATGATTGATATAAAACGAATCTTTTTGATGAGATTATACATTGAGAGAATTGAGAGGGAATGAGGAAGAGAGAGAGAGAGAGAAAAAAAAAAAGGGGAAGAAAAAATGCGATGTATGAGTCAATGTGTCACTCCGATAATTTAATGGACTATTTCATTTTGTTTTTCACTTTGTTTTTTTTTTTTTAATTTCCGAATTGTGATTAGATTGAATTTTAAAATAGAATTTTAATCTCTTTTTTTTTGCAATACTTATTGCTATTATGTTTTAAACAAGTGAATAATTTTCGCAATTTTCAACTTACGGTAAATTTCTTTTTAAACATTAAAATACTTTCAAGAAAAAAAAATTGCGTTTGCTTATTATATCAATTGTTTATCGTTATCAGTCTCATCAATATCATCATTATTTGTTTATAAATTGGAAAATATTATTGATTTTTTCTGGAAACTATTTGAATTGAATTGTTTTTTTTTTTAATATGCTTTCTTATGTTTCTGTGTGGTTGTAAGTATTTTTTGATTGTAAGTATGATTGTAAGTATTCTTTGCATTCGCATGCATGCATGTATCCATGCATGACGCATTCTTTAGGCATTTAATATTGCAAGTAGTTCATTGGTGATTGAAATTTTTTACGATGTGAAAAATTCCGACCAATGAGTCAAAAAAAAAGTGAAAATATTTTGAATGGAGAGATTGCATACAATTGTAAAAGGTCAAATATTGCTTGGTTCATTTTTTTTTTTGTCCTCTATTCTTCAAACTTCAACGCTCAATCTTTCATTTAAGTACTTGAAATGAAATTCTAAATATCATTAATTAAATTTCAAATATTTTTCCAGTCAATTTGTGATATAAAAAGGGAAAACACATGCGAAATCTATTAATATCACATATTCTAAGCTTATCCATACATATATTGACCTATGAACGTATATATATATATACCATGCGGTGTTTGTTTGGTTGTTTTTAAATTGGTATGTAAGAAAGACAAAATTTTAAATTCATCCGAAATTGTTTTTAAATAAATCATAGTAAGGAGATTTTTTTTTAATATTATAAAATCGAATTTAAGGGTCACTTTTCTCTTAGATGAAAATAAAAAAACTTTGCAACAAATTTTCGATCGAAAATGTTTTCATTTTTATCAAAAAGAAATTTAAAAAAAAAATACAATTGAAAAATTATATTTTATTAGGTTGAATTCAAATTTATAGCTATAAGATTTAAGCGCTTAAGCATTTGTATTTCTAAATGCATACAAAGTATATTTCATGTCATTTGAAATGATATATTACATTTCATAGGGACAATACAAAGTAACATTTGAAAATTTGAATGTATCCAAAGCGTGTAATTTAATAGCAAAAATGCATGCACTCATTGCGCTTGTTTGCATGCATGTTTTTGGTAGTTCTTACTGTAAAATCTTTTCGTATGATTTTTGATGTTATAATGTGCAAAATAAATTTAAACATATATTATGAATTTATTGAAATTTCGGGGATTGATTGTTATTATTCATTATTTGAATTCTTTTTATTTATTAAGCAATATTTGCTAAATTTTTCAAGAAATAAAATTCTCTTCTGCTATCTCAAATCATCAAAACTTATTATTCGGTTTAGTGTAAGAATTAAAATTCACTTTAAAGTATTACGGTTATATTTTTTTTACTGCTCAAATATTTATTTTCTATTGATATGATAATCAGTCATCGGAATACTTCCTTCAAATATTTCGGTAAACATCGATTAGAGGATATTTCTTTAAAAAAAATTTTTTCTTGAAGCAAGAAGTACGATTAGTCATCATGAAGAAAAAAGACTTTAAAAATGATAATAATATTCATTTTTAAATTTAACATTTTTATTAAACAAAACCGGAACAGGTTCAGGTATTAATGAGTAATAAACGAATGCATCCTCTACTATTCGATCACCGTCACCTTACATTTTTTGAGTTTCATATGAATTAATTATTTTTTCTTCGATAACATCTCGTCATGTGACAATATTTGTTTCATTTTTTGTTCCTTTGTTTTGCAAAAAAATTAATTTATTATTTCAGGAAAAATAAAAAGGAGAAAAATTTATTAAGCCATTGGAAGGAATGATTTACACCTTGAATTTCACTAATTAATTGTTGCTTTTATTACTTTACTACAATTATTTATTTATTTCATCGAGCAGAACTGAATGCGGATTTATGTTTGGATCATTGCTGCATTTCTTGCTACAACCTTAACTTTATCAATTCTGATTTTATGTTATATTTTAATTTTGAAGTTATTAAAAAATCGATTGCACACTTCCAAACGTTCCATTATCGTTCGACCAGAAATCGCTAAACCGATTAATGCATTTGGTGTGTGATTTTTATAAAAATAAAATAAGCTAAGCTAATAGCTATAATGCGAAATTATTGATAACAACAAGTTTGGAAGGATCGTAATTTTTTCTGATAGCCCTATAAATTTTTTCCTACATTTTCAAGTATGGAATAGTTTGCATTTTTTGCAATTCTTTCATTGAAACTGTCCTTTTATAATTTCATTCCTCGCAATAATAGTAATAATTAATAATTTAATAATAATAATAAATGACAATAATAATAGTAATCAGTAATAATAATAAGTGATAATAATAACAAGTGATAATAATAATAAGTGATAATAACAGTAGGTGATAATAATAAATGATAATGATAAGTGATAACAATAATAAGTGATAATAATAATAAGTGATAGTAATAATAAGTGATGATAATAGTAAATGAATGATAATAATAATAAATGATAATTTTAATAAATGATAATGATAAATTATAATAATAAATGATAATAATGATAAATGATAATAATGATAAATGATAAGAATGATAAATGATAATAACGATAGATGATAGTAATAATAAATGATAATAATGAATGATAATAATAGTAATGAATGAAAATCCAGAAATTCTCGATAAAATTCCTTCCGTGCAGCAACTTTTATCATATTGAGATTTCTAAACATTTCCAAAAGCGTAAAATTTTTTTCTAATAATTTTAATATGCAATTAGTTAAAGCGTTGCAAATAAAAGGCTAATGGAATTTTTTAAATGTTGTGATGAAAAATTATGAGTCATTCTAAATTGTTGATTAGTTCATTGTTGAAAATGAAAAAGTTCATTTGGATGAGCGCGACGCTGTCATTAATTTCTGCTTATCAGTAAACTGCTTTAAAAAAAATAATGATTTCACGATGCAAGCATCGGTGTAGAAAATTATTGAAACTATAAAATTGCATTTTTTTTTTTATTAAAATTATATTATTAGACGTACATGGATATAAATTATTTAAATCTGAACGATGTCATTTCAAATTAATTCCTAGAACTTTATGTTGCAAATTCTAAGTGCCAAAAATAATTTGTTCAAATTTAAATTTCCAATTTTTTCGAATCTCTCCGCAATATTTAATCAATAATTGTAATAGCCATAATTTCTGATGCAAACGTTATGGTTAAATGGGGCATTAATATGTGGTGAATGGTTTGTACAAAGAGAAGGAATGGTAATGAAAACCGGCTAAATGCAATATGGTTCAGATTCAGTGAATTTGAAAGAAATCAGGTAAAAAAAAAAAAAAAAACGTTTGATTTCTACTATGGAAATATTTCAGATGAAAGCAACGCTCGTATTTCAACTCCATCAATAATTGCAGTTCCTGAATATCCATTACAAAATACTAATATCGATGAATTGGAACGAAATCGTGCATCAAGCAAAAAATCTAATTGGATGTCTGGTAAATAAACATAGTTATTTTGAGGAAATTTTCATCATAGTTATATGTGATCTCTCCACTGCTACTACTCCTTTATTGTTTGATTGGAATTTTAGAATTGACAAAAATCCTTTTTTGTTCGTAATAGAATCATAATAGAAATATCGAATGTAACATTTCAAACGTTACATTCATAGTTTTGAACCAGGAGTTTTAAAGAATTTTAATGGAAAATTATAGAATAATAAAAATAACTGATTTTCGGGTATCCAAAACATAGATTGTTACACACGTAACACCGTATTCTGCATTTTCCGGTCGTTCCAAACAACGAAATGGGTATTTTGAAGATCGAGACCCTCCATCAGACGAGTCTAAATGTGACTATTTGGACCCATTGGATTTGAATTTCAACCAGCTTCATGATATTTACATTGCCAGAAGCAATCACTATCAGTCGAAGCAAACTAATTGGCCATCAAACAATGAATCCACAGTGATTACATATGCGTAGCCTTTCTATCAACTAAATTTCCCAATTTTTTTCAGTAGTAACACATTGTTTTTAAGTGAGACAATGTAGTACTTCATTCAGTTACCAGTTAGCATTGAAGACTCACAGAAAACCAAACCTAATTTTAAATCTTTCAATGCAATATTCATTAGTCATAGAATACTCAGGATATTATATTCATCACGTGTATTTTTTTCTGCAAATAAGCACTTTCAAAAAGAGTGAATCAAACTCACTTATTGTTAAACTTAGCCCTTGAAGACTAAGTGCATTCATTGCCAAGGTCATATTCTTCAGTATTAACCTTGGGTTAATACTGTTATCCTTTGCTTTTTTAGACTGTTTATTGTAAACAAGTTAAACTTTATACCGTTTTTGATCATAAAATTTCCGTACATGTCAATATTTGGAGCTCGGTAAAGTTTTCAAGAATAACAACAAACATGTAATGGAACTATTGCCAAACAACTATCAACACTTTAAAAATAAAACACATTAACAAAATAAAACTCAATTAAGTATGGATATTTCTACGACTCCTATAATCAGACTACAATGCTCACAACTCTCATCTTTTGGATATTTTTGGAAAGTTGAATAAAATCTGATAATTTTACGGAGAAATCCCAATTCCATAGTCATGCCATTTTTGATAGAAGTTTTTGATATATTGAATATTCTCGGCTTTGCCTGAAGATACGAATCTTTCGCTGTATTTGTTTCGGCGTATCCTGATAGATATTCCTCGCATCATGACTCATTTTCTGAAACATTACAACTCAAACGCTTTTAAATTTTCAAAATGACGGGATTTCGAATGAACAAGCACAAAAATGAGATCAAATTTTCAGAAATCACAGAAGAAGAAATCATAAAACTGCTAAAGGTTAAGGTTAAGTCTAACAGAATGAAAATGTTAATTGAAAATTCCTTACTTCATAATCTTCACCATGTCTCTCAATCATGTAAGCACAAAATTCAATATCTCGAGCAAGCAAACGGTAGCCACGTCCTTTTTTCTGCCTCATTTCTTCTTCTTCAACTTCTTTTTCCAAAGTAGCAATCACGTTCATAATTTTCGACTCTTCACTGGCCGGTTTCTATAAAAGTGGATAATGGAAATAAATTTCGAACTTAGAGCTTAAAGGTCTAAAAGTTAACCGCAAGAAAACTCGAATAATTCAAGCAAGTATCTCTAAAATCAGATTGTCGTCTATGTTATATATATATATATATATTAAATAAAGAAGTTTTAGATCTGAGAACTCACAGTCTTTAGCATTTGAGATTTAATGGAACCGTGCAGTTTCGGATCGCCAGTATCCATTTTTTCACACTGATTATTCTATAAAAAATGATTTGACTTCATATATGGACAAAATATGTTACGACTGAAAGGTATATCAAATATTCGGTATAAAATGAAAAAAAAAAAGAAACTTAAAACCAGTTCATTACAGAAAGAGAAAGAATTACAATGTTTGCACGCAAAGAAAACAATTTGTTCGAATCGTAAGCAAGTCCCATTGCTTTCATATTCTGTTTAATTGTAGCATTCTTGTCCCAAGCCATGCGCATCTGTTTACTGTAATTTGTTCAATAAATGTATGTAACAATGAGGTTTTAAATAAGAGGATATAATGGTTATATAAAGCAGAGATAAATAATATGTAAAAGATTAATGCAAAACGGCAGCGAGAGTTCGAAAACATTACAATGTCGAGATGTGAATAGCACTATAACTATTGCAGTGGAAATAAAAAATTTCACTGATGCGAAAAACAGTTAGTAACGATTGTATTCAAAACCCATAAAAAAGAGGCAATTCTCAAGACAAAGCAAATTTCCCTCATCCTTTTGCATCTGATGGAAAGAGAAAAGGAAAAGGAAAAAAAAAGAAATATCTGATATGGCTTAAATTATCATCATAAACAATGTTTACCACATAATTCCACACATAGCTTTTCGTCTTTTCGTTGCTTTCTTTTTTGCAGCAACCAAATTTTTACTATAATTAATGCGTCGACGAGCTCTTCTTCTTCCATGTTTGACTGATCTCATTTTGCCTTCTGTACCAAATACAACCTACCTTTAATTTGATTAGGAATAATGTAATAAATGTACCCTTAAACAATTAATTCTCACATTTGATTTCTTTTATTTCCTAGTAAACGCAATAATCATTCACATCAGAATTTATTCCAATTTTGTTCCTTCGATCACGTTCCTATTGATGATGATTACTACTCATCATTTTTTATCCATTTCAGAGTGTCCGAAATTTCCTCAATCTCAATTACCGAAAATTACTGGTGAGAAACCACACCCTGACAGAACCAATGGATCGAGAAATATCGGTGAAGAACAATATTCCAACAAGACCGCTCACAACAGCCTCATTTGGTCGAATGAATTGTGATATACATGACGCGACGTGAAAACGTGTGTTGCAGTTTGAGGGCATAGAGATAGAAGTGTTGAGAATGTATTATTGGCCTGGTGGATCATACGGAAAGTGAAGGAATGGTGGAAAAAGTGGATCGTTTGGCCAAAGAGCAACGGCTACGTAAGGCTGTTTACAGTGCCATTGTAGCCTTATCGGAATGCGTTGATGAAACAGTGTTGCAAAAAATGGTACATTACTTTATATTTGTTGGCAAAATTATACCAATCGATTTCTTTATGTATAAGATATAAAGTTGTTAATGCGATGATTTTTTTTTTTTTTGTATTAAGGCGCTAATTTTACAGTTGAACAGTTTGGATCAAAATAGTTGGATGGAAGTGGTCGAGGAACGTTACCTTGGTCGAATGTGTGGTTTTCCGCTCTGTACTAATCCTGTAGAAGTGAAGAATTCGCAAAAATATAGAATCGATTTGAAAAATAAGAAGGTAAATTAGTTACATTCAACGAATTACTACCTTAAGCAGTCAAAGTAGCATTTGAAACTTGACCATGGATTTTTGATATTCATCTGTCATCTCATCATGAAACATTTGTTTTGAGCTTTTCATCCTATTCGAAGTAGTTTGCTCATTTTAATCGTAAGCATGAGTAGAAAGATTGTCTCTTAGCAATTGTGTCCACAATTTGCATTCTAGGTCTACATGAATTCAATGGAATTTTGAATCAGATCTTCAATTGCTTGCTCAAAAAATAAATCAATAGTTAATTATTGATGAATAACTTAGTGAATACTTGAATCTAGTTATTTGTTTTTATGGTGGAAGTAAATGTAAGATCTAAGAAGCTTTAAAAAAGCCAGTTACATTGGCAACATACACAGATACGCACAAAAAAAACATACATCGATGTAAATATAGCTGGAAAGATCAGAAGCTTATTTTTAAATCTGTGAATTTTTTAAGCGTACTATTAATAATTTGTTTTCAGGTATTCGAACGATCCGCTGAAATTGACAAATTTTGTTGCCAAGATTGTTTTTTACGTTCTGTTGCAGTGAGGGCACAGCTTGAAACAGAGCCGTTATGGATAAGAGGCGATGAACGAGGTATCTTCAGGTCTTTTCTATACGATTCAGGACAGTTTGATTGTTTTACGAATTTAAAATTCTCTAGTGCAAATAGATTGTTTTTGAATCGTAATCCAGGACTTTATCATATAAATTCCGACTGATTTGAAATATATTTTTGTAATAAGACTAAGTAGTCTAAGATTTCAAAGTAGTAGCTAGTAAAAGGAATAACTCAAGGTATATACTGCTATGCTTATAAGAAATATTTTTTATTAGTAAAAATATTTGATTTGGACGCTGGAAACATTAGACAACAACCGCAGAACACTTGTGGCTTTGAATTAAATGAAGATCAACAGCTGATAACATCACTTGAAACTTTGAAAGTAAGGGCTTAACTTTATTTTCATTATGTGTGGTTGTAATTTTAGATTCTTATTTTTTTTTTAGTTTAGATTCTTATTATTAACGTAGTCATAGAGACTGTTGACTTTCTTTATACCTTTCTTATGATACATCTTCACTTACATTCAGAAATGTTCATCTGCTTTGGTGTTTGTATAGCGCATAGATTTGAAAATGCCTTAACATTTTAGACTTTATAATTTTCGCATACAGTTAATTTTGCATTATGACAGTTATTATTTTACTTTTTTTTCATCAACTGTAATTGAACAAAAAAAGAAAATAAAGATTACGGCTAAGTATACAAAAATCCTGTTTTTTTTGTCTCTCAATTAAATCTCGTTTTTATTTATCGCTGAAGTTTTTTGATCAGATTGGTGATATCGCGGAATCTGATGATGACGATAAGGACGATGAAATCAACTTGGACGAAGAAAAAGGCGATGATGCCCATGAGGAGTTTTATAACCTTTGTCGGTCTTACCTTACAATGAGGCCTGAGGTTTCTGGCACTGACGAAAATACAGGCGTGCTCACAGTTGAAAAAGTTGAAAGAGTCACGAAAATGGAGATAGAAGCAGTACGTTGAATTTCTTTGAATTAGAAGAATTCGAAGATGGAGGAGAATTTATATTATTTTGATTTGTTGGCCGACAATTTATATTATTTAGATCCTTCGCACAATAATATCTTTCTGAACTTCAGGAGAGAAAAAAGAATAAACAACTTTCTGAAAGTGAAAAATTGGCTCGTATACGGAACAAGTATAATCAGAATAAACTCAAACGACCCCCAAAAATCATTGAAGCTAAACCGCTTAATTTACAGCTTAGTGATAAGGTTCCAAAGAATTTCTATGAAGATTTTAAGAGAACGCTATTGTAAGTTACTACTCTTCTAACAAATGAAATTTCAGTATTGTTTAAATAAGTTCAATTTTCCAGCTATCTGAGTTTTCTGATCTCTTGTCTTTTTGTTTCGAACTAAAAATAAAACTAATAGATTTAAGTTTCTCAATTTTTCAAGAGAATGGTGTGGTCCAGAAACGATTTGTTATTTACGATATCGTCGCAGAATGGATTTATCGAATAATGAAGATGAAATAACCACTGAAGCAAGATCCATCATGGCTTGGTTTTATGGAGCTGATCGTCTTATTAATAAAAGTGTTGAGGGAAATATGTTTCTGCCTCCGATTGATAATACCGATCAGGCAAAACAGAGAGTTTCGGTACTGGCTGAATTATTAAAACCAAGGTGAGTTTGTGTCCGCCCACTTTTTTCTTTTCTAGATATTTTGTATAAATTATTTTTTCCTATGACAAAAAAGGAGCAGGTTGTCAGTAATAAAAGTTATTAGAGAATATTACTACGAACTTTCATTTATGACAAGAGAAGGGATTTGTTTCCAGAATGTTAATATTTACATCTAATCAGATTTCTATGCTCTCTATTAGATATGTATGTTTTTTTTTTTTGTAAAGTTCAAATACATATTATCTTTTTCATTTATAGCTGGCGACTTTTGGAAGGAAAGTTAAGTATAAATGGATGTGGACAACAAGCCTTAGGCATTATTTCCACATTTCGATTATCGACAACAAATGTTGTTATTAAAAGGAAGACATGCGACCTTGCGGTTGCTGTCATTTTCCGACTGTAAGTTTTCTTTTGTGTGACTAGTGATAGAGGCATTGAAATGAATAGCTTTTTTTTATTTTATTAGAATGACATATAATATTGCTCTTTGCAAAAATGTTACTAACATGTTCTTACCATAAATTAATTAATTAATTTTTTTCTTACTAGAGTGGGATAGCAGAGGGATAAATGATCTCTAAAGAACTTCAAACAATGCCAAATTTTAGGCTTGCTTACTGCGATAGATCTTTAATGGATTTCTATCCGCTTGATGGCACTGTGTC